GCGCCGCCTGCCGGCCAGCGGTGCAGACCCCGCCGCGCCGCCAGTGGCCGAAAGCGGCCCCAGCCGCTGTGGAGCGGGGATGAGAGACGTTTCACTGGGGTTGTGGGTCAAGATGAGGCTGGTGGGGCGCCAGGCCCTTAGGGAGGCAGTGTGGGCAGTGGTTGTGCCAGGTATCTGGACAGATGTGCCTGTGCCGGCATCCTGGCTGTACCCATACCCACCAGCTACTTCTGTCTGACTCTCCCCGTTGAACAGGAATTAAGATAGTGCCCAGTTATGCATAGAGATGTCTGAGGATTAAACCATGATTTAGGATATGAATAAGCACTTAGAACAGTGCCTGGCACAAGGAAGTGTTGATTGTTATCTGGGGTCCAAGGACCTTGCGTAAAGGAATACTGTGATTTTGCACATACATGGAGAACCATGGGGCTTTAAGGAGATTTATGAAACCCTGCATCCCCTTCTGGTCACAAAAATGAGATCTGGAGCCCAACTGCACTGTTTCCCAGCTACATGGCTTTGCATATTTCTTAGCTTCTCTGATGACTCCATTTCCTAGTCTGTAAAATGGAACTAAGTCTTATGGGGTCATTGTGAGGATTAAATGAGAAGACACTGATGGAGGTTTAGGAGGAGTTTGGGAGCTGCCTGACAATCCAGAACCTCCAGAGCTTCTCTCTTGAGGGCAATACACCTAAAGGCTGGAGGCAGGCCTTAGACCAGCCAGCGGCCTTCATCCTTTCACCCAAAGGACCCTAGCCCATGACAGGGATACAGACTTTCCAAGGTCTTGGGAGGCTCCTTGCTCTACTCTTCCCATCCATACCAGGGACCCACCACACCTGGCACACCCTGAATTGTCTTTGCTAGTTGCTTTACTTTCCTCACCCATGTCCTTCCAAAAAGACTGACCAGAGACATGGAAGGCCTTGCAAATAAACTTTATTTGTTGTGGGCAGGGAAGAGAGAGGTGGGGTTCACAGGATAGGAAGAGGCCTTTCTCTTTCAGAACTTGCTCTAGTCCTCCCTCGGGACAATCCAGAGGGACCCACTGGCCTTGGAAAAGTCCCAGTGATTCCAGCTGCCTGAGCGAGATCTCTGCTCTCCCACCTCTGCTTCTGCAGCTTCAGCCTTCCCTGAGGTCCCCATCAGGCCAGCCTCTGGGAAGCACAGGGGCAGAGTCTGCAGAAGTTCAGGTGACCTGCAGCCAGGGGACTGGGAGGCTGTGGCATTTAGACCCTCTGATACCACCTACCCCCACATTCCGTTTCCCACTAGGTGGAGACCTTAGGCCTTCCCAGGAGCCTGTCCTCACCACCCCAATGCTCACTTAGGCTTGTCTTAACCAGCCGGCTATATCCTTGCCTCTAGGCCACCACCCCCAGGAAGTCCATCTGGACAACCTGACTGCCCCTGGACAACTCCGGAGGAGAGGCTATACTAACCAAACAAAGGCTATAGAATCCTCCTCCCTACCACACCACTGCTCAGTCCAGGGCCGGGCACACTGCAGGAGACAGATGACATTAGGTAAAACTGTGGGAGGACCCCAGGCAAAGGACCATTTGAGGAGGTGACCTTAGAGGAAGGGTTAATGTCTCTATGAATGGGGTTGGCAAAGATGGGTTGCAGCTTTGGGGACCTCCCTTTTTGGGAGTGGCCAAGTGGCCAAGCCAAAACAGGATCTCTTTGGGGTTTGGAGTAACAGACTTTAGAGTCCAAGAGACTTGGTGTTCAATCTCAGTTCTTGCACTTACTAGCTTGGGACTTACAACTTGACTTTTCTGGGCCTCACTGTCCCTATCTCTAAAATGAGTGTAACAATAATACGAACAGCCCATAAAGTTATGAGGAGTCACTTCAGACCTCCACGTGTGCTCCATTTTAAATTCTTCTTTCCTGCTCTCTCTGCAGACCCCACAGCTGATTTGGGGTGACTGTAGGAGCCGCCCAGGCCCCAGGGACACTCCCACATACAGATTTCCTAGGGCCCTCTGGGTGGCTGCTCAATCCAGGTCCATGGTGCCTCCTTCTCTCATTGGGAGCCCAGTGGAGCTCTGCTGGTGGCTGTGGCTAGGTCCAGGCCTGCCATGTGTGTAGCTGGACACATGACTCCCACTCCAAGGGCCTCATGTATTGTCACTCTCTCAGAGACACTTGCTGGGCTATTCACTTTTTTCTGGGGTGAAGCAAACAGGGAAGGAAAAGCATTTCACATTCTGTGTTGAGATCTCTCTCAGGCCACATGCTGCTTTTGCAAATAGGGCCTTTCACAGCCCTGTCCACTCCTCCTGCTGGCCCACTAGCCCCCAGCATAATGACACCTTTATTTAGGCAGATGGGGGCGGCATGACCTGGAGTGGGGGAGTGGGGGAGCCTGGCTGGGCCTTCCAAGGGCCCCCTCAAACAGGCTGCTCCTGAAGATAGAGGGGTAATGTGTCTACTCTCAGTGAAACTGGGAGCCTCCAACCTCCTCCTTGCTAAGGAGCTTGGACAAGCTAATTAACTGCTCTTCAGAATTGTGAAACTGGAATCATGGCATACATGTAAGCCAGACCCAAAGGTACTAAGACTGGGACACAGTAGGCTTTTAATTAACAATAACAACAACCATGACGATGATGATATATGACTGTTAGGCCTGAAAATGGCCAAAGGCAGAGTTTGGGGGATGTTTTTTCTTGCAACATCACCACCATCCTCTTGGAGCTTCTACTCTAAACTGGTTAACAGAAGTTAAGCCTACTATATAAAATAGCCTTTTTAAATTTCTGAATAAAAGTATTCCACGAGCATGGAAAGAAAATGGAAGAGTGCATCCATCCCTCCTCACTCCCCAGGGGCAGCCTTCTAATACATACTTCCAGAATCTCTCCATATATAAGCATACTTATGACTTTTAAATACACACAAATAAGATCATACTCTATTGCCTGTTCTCGATTTATTCTATTCACCCTACAATATATACTGGCCAACCTTCCACATCAGCTAATATAGAGAGACCTACCACATTAATTTTTGTAGGTGTGTATTATTTCACAGTATGAATGGACCATAGGTTCATTTCCATTTCTCTACATTCTTAAAAAGAAATGCTCTGATGAACATTCTTATACATCTTTCTTTGGGAACCACATATTAACCATAGAGTAAATGCCTAGCAGTGCAATTTGTTTGTATCCAAGTATATGTGCCTTTTACATTTTGATACTGCCACACTTCAAAAAATACTGTATAATTCACACTTTCCAACCAAGAGTGTTTGAGAGTGTCTTAAAATAGACACACGATGATAGGGAAAGGCACTAAGACAGCCAGCTGTGTGAGATACAGGCCACGCAGGCATCCAAGGAGCCCACCGAGAACGGCATTGAACCAGCCTGTTGTCCCAAGGGCAGTGCCCAGTGGCTTCCTCTTGTCTAGGCCTGCGTAGGATAATAGCCCAGAGGTGCCCTGAGTTGGAGGGGAGTGGGGCCTGCAGCGGTGCTGGGAGTGGAGGGCAGGCCAGCATGAGTGGAGTCCTGCCTGAATGGTTTCCTGTGGCCATTGTCTCTGCCCTGCCTGGTCTCCTTGGGGGCAGTTTATTCAGGGGCCTTTGGAGAGGAACTGGGCAGGAGGAGGAAGGTATGCAGTCCTCACCAAAGGCACCCAGGAATGTATCACAGAAGGGAGAGGAAAAGGGAGGGGGGACCCACCCCTGGGAGAGACAGGACGTCAAGAACCCCTGACTAATGAATAGTGAGTTTGCCCTTGAACCTTACTGGGCTTCGCCATTCTCAGGCACAGAACAAGAGCTGAGACACGTCTGAGCCCAGCTGCATGGGGATGGCGGCGGTTCATCTCAGACACTTTGACAGGCTGGGCCTTTTCCCTGCATAGCTCAAATCTGGCTCCCGGCTCCCCTGGCAACAGCACAGCGGCATGGCTCCCAGGTCCAGGCTCTGCCTGCTGCGAGCAGGAGGAGGGAGGAAGAGGAGCACCAAAGGGAGGACAGCTGGGGAGAAGGAGTCGTTAACTCCTAGAAGGCTGGAGCCCCTTGCTTTGGCAACCTCCCAGCATACAGCCCTTAGTCCTCTGGGGTGCAAGTGTGGATGGCGAAGAGCTTCTGTTTGCTGGAGGCCTGGTCAGAGGACCCTGGACCGGACGAGGCACATGATGTGACAAGGGCAGAAATGGTGGCCAATAGGTCAAAGGCAAAGGCTCCCACAGGATGGGTTGGGGCATTTTTCCCCAGGTCCCCTGCCAAGTCCCAGAGGGGCAGGAATGCGAGTGGAGCCTGCACCGTGCCCTCTGTCCCAGTTCTCTTCCTCCATCCTGGTCCCTGACTGCTGCAGCCTCAGGACAGTGGCTACTGTGTCTTCCCTTTCTGCTTGGCTCTTCCCCTTCTGATGATCTTGAGTGTCCTGGAGCAGCATGGCTCTGTATTCCAGTCCTGTGACCTTGGCAAGACCCACTGATCCTCTCTGTCTCCATTTCCAGGGAAGCTGAAAAGAGGCTGTCCCATCACACTTCACAGGACAATCTAAAGATAAGAGAAATAATATGTGAGAAGGAGCTCTGCACTCTGGGGAGAAAAGTGTCCTATAAATCTCATTCAGGTATTATTAGGGCTGAAAGTAGGTATTTCTGTTCCCTGGGGCTGGGGGGTGGTGGTGAGGGGCTCATTTGAGGTTGTCTCAGAACCTCCTCAGCAGAGCAGGCCTGAAACTCAAAGGCAAGAGGTCAGGAGAGACAACGGTTTATGTCTGTGGCCTTCAGAGGGTCAGCTGGGATGAGAAGGTAAGAGAGCGATCGTATATTTTCAAGGAACTTTACCTACATAATTGTTATGCCTCGCTGCAACTTTATGAGATGTGGCGATCCTCATTTTGGAAATAAAGAAACAGAGGCCCAGAGAGGTTAAGAGCTGCCCCAAGGTCACACTGGTTACAAAGGGACCTAGTCTATATCCACCTGATTCTGTGGCCTGCACTTGTCAGCTGTACTGGTGGTAGAGCCACCTGGCTGGGGGTCCTGGGGAGAGAGCAGGCACTGAGAAGTAACATTCTCCTCATGGATTGCTTCTCCGGGCTTGGAGCTTCTGAGACCGAAGGCCCTGCCAAGGGAAGTAGGAGAGGGCAAGTCCTATGGAGGACAATGCAAACCCATCGTGAAGGCCACCTGGTAGCAAACAGCCACAGGACAAAGGCCAGCCAGAGCACACGGAAACACAACAGAAGGTTCCAGATCAGAAGCTGGGAACAAACTCAGCTAAGACTTGCGCTCTCTGGCTCAAGTCTTGCCCCAGAGCAGGTCACTTCCCAGCCGCACGTCACTTGCCAGCATGTAGCTGGGTTTTCATTTCTGCAGCCTCTGGTGGAGATGCCTTCCTTCATCCCAGGGCAACCTGAAGGAGACCAAGCTGGTTGGGTTTCCTGCAAGCCAAGGGGCTGGGGGTGAGGGTTACTGATAGGCAGCAGAGAAGAAAAACCAGGAAGAACTTCCAGATTATAAAATATTATGGCTAAAAGGGAACTTAGATGCCATTCTGGCCAGTGCTCCTTTTCCAAGTCTAGAAAGGGAAGTGGTTCACTCAAGACCAGAAGGAAGTCCAAGTCTCTAACTTCTAGCTAGGTGAGGCTGTGTCTTCCTATGCCCCTGTCACTCTACTGGGCCACCCTGAGCCCACAAAGGCAGGGAATTCACCCAGTGAAGCACAGAGAAGGGCCAGGTAAAAGCAGCTGCTATTGCAAAGCAAACCATGTGTCAAGAGGTGGCTTTAGGAAGCCTGGGGCTGGGGCAGATGCCGCCTTGAGGCCAGAAGCCTTCCTAGATGACAGAGCGTGGCTCCACACCACCACCAGCAGCAGCCTCCAAATTGTCCACAGCCAGATGGTAAGAACCATGAATCTCCCTGGCCAATGAAAAGACAGAAGCAAGAGGAGATGCACCAGAAAAGGTACAGGTCCCTAATCCTGACCCACAATGCTTTTGAGAAGTGCCAGGAAGGAGGAGCAGCTCCAGGGGATGTAAGGAGGGTAAGAGTCCCCAGGAGAAGCTTGTCCCCACAGAGCCTGATGACAGAGCTGTAGCCAGGGCGGGGCCTGGAATTGGGAACTTCAGCTCACTGCCCTTTACTGCTAAATCCTCTGCCAGGTGGAGCAGGGTGCCCATGTGAAGCAGACCTGACCTGCTCAAAAGGTAAAGGAGATCAGGGATCCTGCATCCTGTGACCTCATCAGGAACTGCCCTCAAGGGAAGTTGGTGTGCTTGCTGATGAACAGACACGTGATGGAACAGAAAGACACAAAGACAAATGAACTTGTTTCAGCCCAGCTATCCCCTCTTTCCTGGGCTGCTGATTTGGGGCCAGCTTCCATTTGACTGGCCAGTGTCCATGGTTAAATATTCTGTTTACATCACCGCTGTCTTCATCCCCCAAATCATAGCTATATCAACCAACCTTGAAGGGCTCAACTCCTTCATACTTGCCCCATACTAAGCGAAAGGGAAAAGGAAAATTAACCCTATTTGGTGTTTAGCCACTCTGTAGGTAAGTAGTGATTATTATTCCCATTTTATAGATGAGGGTTTAGAAGCTTCAAGACATTCAAGGGTCTGCTGCATAGTGATACCAAAAGCAGAACTCCAAGCTGGGCTTCTGCTGTCCCTCCTCTCCAGCCAAGGTCCCAGGCCTGGGCCATCCCCATCCTGGTGGGCTGGAAGGTTCTGAAGCACCTGGGCTTGTGTTCAACATTCCCGCCTCATTTTCTTACCTCCCCAGGGTTCTCTCAGGGCTCAGTGTAAGCAAAGGAGGCACACTGCCCAGTACACTTCATTAGTTCTAGAACAAATTCCCCACTCCCTGACCAGCCCTGATGGCATTTCCCTGGCTAACCACGGGAAGGAGTACCTGCAATGTAGAGATGGCTTCTCCTAACTGGGATAAGGAGTCAGAGGGCTTGGGGGCTTGGGTAAAGGTGGGGACAGCTACCAAACAATAAAACCTTAGCCATGCAGAAAGGGCTGGAGAGCCTTAATCTTCGGAGCTTTCCTCCTGAGAAAAAAAGAATGTGGTCGGTCCAGCTGCATGCAGGGCCCATGCCCCAGCCCTCCACTGGGTACCACCCATGCCCGTACAGCCTTGGAATGGGAAGCCATGCTTGGAATGTGATTCCCTAGCTTTGTGTGATGCTCAGTTAGCAGAGTGTGACTCCCAAGATCCCCTGTCACCTCCTAAAGCCTCTGCCAGCCCACCCCCCAGCACCACACTGATCACCAGATTAAGGAGCTCAGGGATACAGCTGAGGCAGCTAAAACCAGGGAGGGAGGAGTGGGGAGGGGCAGGGAGGGCAGCAGGCAGCTCTTCCAAGGCCCTGCCTGCCCTGCTTCTCTCCCCTCCTCCTACTGTGGGCCTCTCTGTTCCTGCCGTGAGTTCTAACTCTATACTATTCTTCATTTAACTTCAGACTTCCCCTCCAGATACCTAGATGGAGCAGCTAGGAGACAGGGAGACGGGTAGGAAAAGAGAGATGGAGGCAGGAAAGGCAGCCACGATAGAAGGAGTGAGTGTACTGTGGGTGGGGACTGGCTGGAGCCCAGTGCCTCCTCTGCCTGGACTGAGTTCCCCTGAAGGTAACCCCAGAGGCTCCTTGTGCATCCCCCTGACTAGCTGCCCAACTCCAGAGCAAGGTACATCCCACACATCAGAAGAGAGAGCAGAAGGGAGCAGGAGCAATGGGGGAGGCTGGCAAAGAAGGGACAAGAGAAGGAACTTGGGCATTCAAAGCTCTTCCCTAAGACCGCAGCACTTCTTGAACCAAAGCCATCCAAAATCAATTAAAACACAAACATAGGGAAAGAAGCTCCCTTCTCTCTGCATAGAATCACCAGATCTACAAAATGGTCCATCCATGATAAAGACCCAACAGGAAGGAACTTGAGGTTTAGCCCAGGGCTTTTAGGACTGTGAGTGTTCCAGACTTAGACTTTCAATTACTGAGAAGCTGTGATAAGAGGGCAGGGCCAGTGGGGCTGAGTGGGGGAAAGGCCAGGGAAGGGCCATGGAACAGACCCTGGGGTCACTGAATCCTGAGACTCCTGTACCTAAACAAGAGGGGCTGTGCTACATGCCCCCACTCCCCGACCACCCAGGATTATTGTGAGGGGCTGTGCAGAGCTGGAAACTCTGAAGGAACAATCCAAAAAGTTATCTGGAGGCCCAGTTCGGCAGGCATCCAGACCCTTCCCAGCCCTGTCCCCCATGCCAGGGCCTGCAGGGGGCGACCAGGACACACTCAGGGCCTCGGCCAGCAGCTGCTCTCACTCCACCTTCTCTTGTGCCACACCTGCCAAGCTCCCTTCTGCTGGGCCAGGGCCTGCTTTCCACCACTGCAGGGTACGGGCAGGAGGAAGAGGGCTTGGGCTGCATGGGGGGAGGGAGTTCTGTGAGAACCTGGGAAGAGAGGCTCTGCTAGCTCCAGATCCTCTACCTGCTCCCCAAATTCCAGTGTCAACAAGGATAAAATCCTTCCATGAATCCTCATTCCCATCCCTAGCCAGAATTCCCTAGTCCCATTCCTGTCATTGTGCCCAGTGAGTGCTAAATCAACACAGGTTTGAAATGATCACGACCATCACAGACTCTGAGCTAGAAGGAATGGAGAGATTCCTGAAGTTCCACTCACTCGTTTTGCCAGTGAGGACACTGGGATGAGCCGGGCTCCATGAGATGACATAGCAAGCCAGGGGCCAGGACATGGCTGAGCCCTGTCGACCAAACGTCTTTCCTGCTCGGGGCCAGGCCCCTGCAACAGCCTAAAAGAGGGCTTCTCCATCATATCCCAAACAAGATCCTGGCCCAACTGTGGGCGGCGGGGGTCTGGGGCCAGGGGAGGCCGTAATGCGATAAGCAGACTGGCCATCTGGCTTGGGGACAGAGTAGAGCCCAGACTGGCCGCTTCTGCTGCCTGGTCCCAGGGGACCCTGTGTCGCGAGAGACAGACTGCCAGATGGACAAACCCTGGCCTGGGTCTGGGTGGAAGCCAGTGAGTTCCCTGTAGTCAGAGCTAACCAACTTTCAGATGTGGTGGGGTAGGAGTAGAAGGGGTGAGGGGAGCAAAGCTAGGCCCCCCAAAAGGCAGAGAAACAGAAAAGCAGCATGGGAGAGCTGAGATTCCCACCCAGGCTCAGAGCCTGGCTCCCCAGGTAGGCCCAGGCTGGCTCAGCTCCACAGCCACAAACAGGTCCCCCTCCCGGGGAAAGGCAAACACATCTCCCCTGGCACCTTCTCAGACATGCATGCAAAACTAATTAACATGGGGAGACATGCGAGCAGCCGGCCAGCTCCACACCCTCGAGTCCACGCAAACAAGGCGAGCCCTTGTCCGGGGGACATGCACAAAGCTTTGTTGCTAATTTAGGCATCTGTCTCTGTCTGGTCTGGTCCTCCTGCCTGCGCTGGGGTTTTTCCCAGCCCCTCGGACAATGCTGGGAACAGGCCTGCCGATCCCTTATTCAAATCACACCCAGGACAATGAGCTCATTGTGCAGGCCACAGAAAAAGGGATGCTGGGGGGGTGTGTAATGGGGCATCAGGAGTGGAGAAGGGTGGGGGTAGGGGTGAAGAAAATAGGAATCCAGGAAAGTGTTTACTAACACAGCCCCTGCAGCTGCCTTGGGCCCCTCTCCCCTCCCCCACCTGGCTAGCAGCCGGGGAGAAGTCCCGGGACGCAGAGGTGGGGGGCCCCAGAGTAGATGATAGGACTTGTATCTGCTGGGCTGGCGGATACAAAGTCTGGCTCAAACCTTCACCTTGTTGTCCTCTCCCACCTTCAACAGTATACAGCTACCCCTGCATGTCCATGGGCAGATGTGTTTTTTATAGCTCGGTTTGGGGCATTCTTTTTCTCTTACTGGGGACTAAGCAGTGTAATGTACAGATACTGACTTCAGAGGAGGAGACGGCTGGGGGGAGAGGTGCTGGCGGCTGTGCAGGGTAGGACCTGCTGTCTCGGCCATTGTCTTCAGGCAACGTTTCATTTTCTCCTCCTTCCCAGCTAATAAATTAGAGAGGGGACCGTGAGCTTCGAAGGGACAGGCTCCCCATGGACGGCGGGCGGGCAGGCGGGAAGGCAAGTCTGTCAGCTCATGGCAGATGGGGCTTACCCAGCCCATGGCCGCTCACAACACACCTGGTCAGACACTCGCACATAACCCTATACAATGAGCTATATCGTGTAGCAAAAAACCCTATGTGTACGCACGCACACACACATAAATATATATACAATATACAAGTCCCCCGAGATTCCTGAGGGGGATATATGGGGCTTTGAAACACCCTCCCTCCTACCAACAACCCCCAGCTCCTTGTCGCACTGAGCCCACCTAGACAGGCCGACGTAAACAGACACGCATAGCCTGACACTGACACATAGACACAAAAAGAAACACACACATCCAGAGGCAGTCCCAGACACACACGCTGACAATAGCGTAATGAATGCAGGACGGCGAGTGCATTCAGTCAAAAGCCCACACCGCTGGTCGCCCAGCACCAGGGTGGCTGAAAGGTTATGGAGCGGCTGCAAGCCAGCTCCCTAACAACCTCCTTCCCAACTCTCTCCCAGGACGGCTTTCTGCTACGCGGGAGGTGAAGTAAAACACCATTCCAGGCATCCAGATGGAAGCAAATGCTTCCTGAGATAGAAAAGTTTGGATCTGGTCTCAGCCCTTAGTCAAGGTTGTTTGAGCTGCCCTGAAGTAATTTTTTTTTTAATATTGAAAGAAAACGTGTTAAAAGTCATCTCAATTATCCTGTGTTTCAAGCCAGGTGTTGAAGGTGGAGCAAAGTGGAGCCTTGCTGGGGTAGTTTTCCTTTGCAGTAGAATCCACAGGTTGCATCATTTCTTCCTTCAGTTAAAATAATTTTGAGAAGGGTAGATAGGATGAAGAGAAACACACATGGTAAAAATTTCAGAGACTCTTTAAAGTGTGCTTCTGGAGCTAAAGGAGAAGGAATGGTTTCCTCTCCACTGGCCCAAAGCAGTGGAAATATACTAGGTTGAACCATAAAAATCATCAATATCTAACTGTTTTTGATCTACAAAAGAGAAATTTTGTATGGGCCAACCTAATAGGCAGTGACCGTGAAGCATCCACCTACAACCACAAAAGTACACTGTGCAGACAGGTCAGAGCCGCTGCTGGGATGACCTGTGAGAGCGTGCACGCACATGGCCCACAGCCTGTATTAGGCCAGGACCTACCTTTAGACTCCACCAGGATTCCTGTTTCTCCTTTCCCTGTCTTCTGACTCTGGAGCATGTCCTAGAGAGGACAGAAGGAACATGAGACAAGAACAGAAAAGGAAATGGGACAACTGCTCTCCTGGCTTCTCCTCTGGAGGAGCTTGGGGGGCTAGCACAGAAATCTGTGCACATACTCTGTCCTGGAGGAAACATCTGCTGTGCAGCTTTGAAACTAAAGCATGTGCAGTCAAGTGGCTACCAAATTTAAATCCAAGGCCAGTCTCTGTGCATATGACACTCATTCAAACTACCTCTGAGAATCATGCACAGAAGCTGGAAGGGCGCCAGGCCATCCAGCGTGGGGAAGACCCACTCCTTGCCAACAGCTGGGCATCCATTGTCCCATCGCTCACTGTCATAGAACGCAGAACACACTACATCTTCTTGAGAACGCACTCTTACCAACTTCGCCGGAGTTTCCCAGGGAAGGAAAGATGGAAGGTTTCAGAAGTGGAGTCTAGCATTGCTCTGTATCCCACTACCTGATTCTTTTCCACAGGGAAACGTCTATTTCACATACGCTTATCTTGCCCACCAGCAACAGCTGGTGGGTCCATACAGAAGCTGAGGGGAGGATACTTCCCTGAGAGTCTCCTAATAGCCAAGGACCTGGGACTCCATTCAAAGATCTGGAACGCCCTTCCATGCAGTGGGAAGTGGCATGGTCTCTCCTATATCTTTGACAAGTACTTTGACCACAAATGCCATGTAACTCCTAGAGTTTTACCTTTCCAAACACATACACACCTTGACCTCAACAAGAAAACCACCAAAACAGTAATAACAATAACAAGATGAAATCTGTTTGGCCTCCCTGATACTGGGAGGCAAGTGAGAGAAAAAGAGCCTGTAGTCTGGGCTTTAGGCGTGTGGATGCCTTTGCAGGGTGGGCTCCAACCTAGGGGCTACATGGAAGACTCTCCTAAACACCAGATATGTTGACAGAAGGCAGCTGGGTACCTACCATTACTAACTTACATGCAGGCTCACCTGCCAACCACTGCACTCAGGGTCCAGTTTGAGCAGCACCAGGATAGAATTCTGGCCTTGAGCCGCTAAACATTGTTGGAGAAACCTTCTGTATATGAGTTCATCCAGATGTAATTTATTATTTGATTGCACTTAAGATGTTCCCTACCAATCTCACATGCAAATCTTGATAGGTTACTGCTATGCTGATTCCTAAGTTCAAAGTTGTTTTTTAAATGAAGGAAAGGCAATTGAGATGTCACAGTTCTATATAAACCAATGGAATCTGGAAAATTAAAGTTCTAGCCCAGGCTAAATGGCAGTTTAAAGTTACCATGGGCAAAGCATGAAATGGCTTCTGACCTGGCTCTCCCAGGCTCCTGGAGGGTATGGGGAAGGGCAGGGAAGGGCCAGGAAGCCACAAATGGGTGAGAACTGTCATACCCCCAGTGCCTGTTAATCCAACACCCCTGCCCCTGGCCTGGGCTTCCTGTCCTGTATGGATAGGTGAAATTCTGTATTACACAAGCTTAATGCACTGGGCAAGGGACTACGGTTTTCCTCTGTGTCCCCAAGGCCTCAGCTAGAGCCTGACACATAGTGCACGGTCAATAAAAATTGAAGGAGTAAATGAATGCAGTAGAAAAAATACAATCTGATGTGGGAAGACTTTCAATTCCCAAGCTCCACCGTTTCCTTGCAAACTGGGATACGGCTACACGGCACAGCCGTGGAGGTGCTGAAATCCAGGCCAAGAGCCAGCAGAGGTGAGAGGCCCTGGATGGATGTGTCTCCTCAGCCCAGGCTGGCTGGCAGCACCCCACACCCATCTTGCACATGGTGATGAGACCAGTTCCCTTTGCCCACCTCTCCACTCTCTGTTCTTGGCCTCCACCATCTGACCTGCTCTTCAAACCCAAATCTCTGGCCCAGTCCTGCAGGACTCTGCCCAGCTATTCCATCCCTACCTCTGAACCCTTTCTCTGAACCCCTCTCCCTCCTCAGCCTAGAAGACCTGTTTAGGTACAATAAGCCTGGTCTAATGACTCCAACTTACATAGATTCCTCCTCTCTTAATCCCTACAGCCTGAGTCAAGCTATGTACACCTTAAATGTGTGTCTCCTTAGGCTGGTTTCTACTTGGAAGGGTCAGGGAGCAGGTCAGGGGTTCTCCTGGGGTTCTCCCTGCACCGTGGAGCTTGGAGCTGATGCAGTCAGTAAACACTACAACTCACCATAGAGCGACTGACAGTTGAGCCTGATCCCTTGCTCGCCGCCTTCCCTGTGCCTTCACTGATTACAGATGTGTGACCCACCAGTGAGATGGTCACTGCATCAGAGCCTTGCTGCATCACTCATGTTCTGCCATTCTCCTCCCCTCAACACACAAACCCACTCTAGGGCAGGAGATAGGGGATGCAAACTGACATTTCTTGGTAAGTATTACTGTCCCCAATTTTACAGATGAGAAAACTGGCTCAGAGACAGAGGTGAAATAGTGTGCCAGAGAGGTCTGAACTAGGTCAGACAGACCCCGACCCCCACTGAACAACACGCACTGCCTCACACCACTGTGATCTTGAAGCCTCTGATCCAACAGCAGAAGAGAGAAGAGCAGACTAGAAACAACTAAAAATGGGGTAAAAGAAGCTGCAGGCTCAAGGAGAGGGACTGGATGTAAATTGGAGACCTCCCCCTCGTTATACCCCCTTTCTCAGCACTCCTCAGGGAAATGACACACCCTCAGAGGTACGCACTACCTCTCCCATCCTGTGCCACCAAACTGGGTGGAGAGGAAGAAGGTCTAACATTTTATGCTTAAGGACTAGATGAGACTAGACAGAGGACATGGTGTCTCTCCTCCAAAAGACTGAATGCTACCTCAGGGGATGTAACATTGCGAAAAGCAGAGGCTCAGCCTCGCCCTGGGCAGGTGCAATGCCTTGGCACCACGGGCAGACAGGTGGGCTTGAGCCAACCCTTGATTTTACAGACTGAAGCACAGCCAGGCTGTGGACCACAGTGACAATCAGGAGAAAGCCAGGCCTGGGTGGGGTGTTTCTCACTCCTCTGAGCACATCGCCAAGGCTCCTAGGGACCCAGCGCTAAGCCCTCCTACACAGATCCTCCAGGTATATTGCCAACCCAAAGCAGGAGGTACTTCAGAGCCATACTTTAGCTCATGAGCTCATGTGGCTACCCAAGTCCAGGCTGACTCCTCAGGAGATGAGGATTCACAGGGGACTCAGACTGCCACCTACCCAAGGGCTGTAGCTTCTGAGACATACCCCATATGCATTCACCCCAATGGCATCTGGCTTAGAAAAGAAGGGCAGACCCTAGATTACACTTATCTTTCTTTCTGCTCCCCAAGAGACGGGCCTTAAAGGAGATTAAGTATGCAAAGCTTTAGCACAGAACTTGGCACAGCATAAGTGCTCAATAAATGGTTCCTGTCACCATTATCATGACTCATTATGATTTCCTGGCTGCCCACTCCTCACCTCCTTGGCTCATGTGAGGGGCCTTCTTTTCATCATCTTAAGACTTACTGGAGCTCAGAGGCCCTTAACGCAGTCCAGGGTTCCAGGGCAGGACACGGAAGTTTCTGAGAGGGGAAGGGGACTAGAGTAAGGCTGGACCCACGGCCAGGAGTCCTCCAAGGTGAGAAGGACCCTCTGCCCTCTGACAGCAGGATGAGTCCAATGGGCAACCCCTCCCCGAAAAATCTCTCTGAAGACCCGAGGCTTGGCAAGGAGCCAGGGCAGGAGGCTTCTCCAAGAAGATGCTGGCTCTGAGCCAAGGTGCATCCCAGAAGCTTCAGCTCACAGAGAGCAGCAGAGGCAGAAGAGAGGAGGGGCGGTGAGAAGAGGGGCAATGAAGAGCCCTCAGGCCAAAGGAGATCTGCTTAAAGTGGGTTTGGCAGGAAGCTGGGAGGCATGGCTGCCTTCTCATGTCCGGTGGTTTCCATACATCTGGGAGACGACGATATCCCTGTGAGAACAGGGATGGCGGTAGGGTTCCACCCCAGCACAATTCTCCTGTCACCTACATTTGGGCCCACACAAACTCCACAGGGCGCTGCTAAACCTCCAAGCAAGGACTCTTCTGGGCCTTACCCACTGGCTCTCTTCCCCCACCCTAAAAGATGAAAAACATGATGCTGCATGCAGATTCAGGTCTTCTGCCTTGAAATACTGAGGGGTAACCCCCATTTAAGAGGCTGTACCAGGCACTCTCCTAAAAGCTCCATAAGGCCTGAGCCTCTGTATTGGTCTCCAGCCTGGCTTTTCCATGGCCTTCTGTGCACAGAGCTGTGGCCAGAAACCAACCAGGTGTAGATCAAGATTAGTTACTGAGCACTGAGGCTGACAGAAGTCTTGCTTCTCGAGTCTAACCCAATGAAAATATGGGTGAAATATATCATTTAAAATTTTCTAGAAGCCATATCAAAAAGTAAGAAGAGGTAAAACTAATTTTAATAATATATCTTATTTAACCCAGTATTACCACTTCAGCCTGTTGCACTGACCACATCTCATGGGACCAACAGTGGTTAGCATACGGGACAGCGCAACTCTTGACTCCAGCAACTTCCCTCATTTTCAGATGAGGATGTGGCCCAAGTATCTAAGGGGAGGGCACTGGGGTAGAAAAGGAAGCCCCAAACTCCATCCCTACAGCTGAGCCCATCAGCCCTTCCTTTTGGTCTCACAATAAATACTCACGACCTATGAAATAGATCATTTTATGATAAATCAAATTCAGGGGGACTGCAACATAAACCTACTTGAAATGGACAACCCAAGGAGGAGAAATAATAGATATACTTGACATCACAAGCTCTGGAACAAAGACCAACAGAAAGCAACAGGAAGGAGGTTCTGGGAGACTTCTTCGTGGGAGTCAAGTCTCTATGAGGACCTCTGTGTGTGCCACCCCTGAGCAGGGCCACCTGGTTCCTATGGGTTGTAAATACCCACATTCCAGCACTGGGTCTGGTGATTTTTCTACCACGTCTCCCTAGAGGAACTACCCACAAAAGCTCCTCT